GCGGGCAGAAGTAATTACAATTCAGTTAGGCAAGAACTGGGTAACAAATTGGGAACAGACGCTGTCAGGGAAGAGCACTATAGAAATGTGGAGATTGTTTAAGGAATGCATACTGCATGTGATCAATATGTTTGTCCCTAGCAGGCAGGGAAGATGCAGTCGAGCGAGGGAGCCTTGGTTCTCGAGAGGTTGAATGACTGGTTAAGAGGAAAAAGGATGCTTGTGTAAAGTTTAGGAAACAAGGAATGGAAAAGGCTCTAGAGGGATACAAGTTATCCGGGAAGGAGCTGAAGAGAGTTATAAGGGGGCATGAGAAAACCTTGGCAGATAGGACTAAGGAAAACTCCAAGGCTTTTTACGTGTACGCGAGGAATAAGAGAATGACCAGAGAAAGGGTAGGGCCGATCAAGGATTGTAAAGGGAATTTGTGCATGGAGCCTAAAGAGATAGGAGAGGTCCTTAATGAATACTTTTCTTCAGTACATTCACAACTGAGGGACCCAGTTGTAGAGGAGGACAGTGTGAAACAGGCCAGTAGGCTAGAGGAGTTTGATGTTATTAAGGAAGATATACTAGGAATTTTGAGGAAGTTGAAGATAGACAAGTGCCCTGAGCCTGATGGGATTTATCCAAGGATTCTATGGGAAGAGAGGGAAGAGATCACAGGGCCTTTGGCGATGATCTTTTCGTCCTCACTGTCCACGGGTATAGTGCCGGAAGATTGGAGAGGCAAATGTCATTCCCTTGTTCAAAAAAAAAAGGGAATAGGGATAACCCCAGAAATTACAGGCCAGTTAGTCTTACATCAGTGGTGGGCAAATTATTGTAAAGGGCTCTGAGAAATAGGATTTATGATCACTTGGAAAGGCACAGTTTGATTCGTGATAGTCAGCATGGACTTGTCAGGGGTAGATCATGCCTCACAAACCTTATTGAATTCTTTGAAGAGGTGACCAAACACGTGGATGAAGGTAGAGCAGTGGATGTGGTATACATGGATTTAAATAAGGTCTTTGACAAGGTTCCCCATGGTAGGCTCATGCAGAAGGTAAGGAGGCATGGGATAGGGGGAAATGTGGCAGATTGGATTCAGAATTGGCTGACCCTTAGAAGACAAAGGGTGGTAGTGGACAGAAAATATTCAACATGGTGCTCAGTTACGAGTGTACCACAAGGATCTGCCCTGGGTCCTCTTCTATTTGTGATTTTTGTAAGTGATTTGGACGAAGGAGTGGAAGGATGGATTAGCAAGATCGCAGATGATATGAAGGTGGGTCGCGTTGTGGACAGTGCAGAGGGCTGTTCTAGGTTACAAAGGGACATTGATAGGATGCAGAGCTGGGCTGAGGAGTGGCAGATGGACTTTAACCCTGAAAAGTGTGAGGTGATTCATTTTGGAAGGACAAACTTGAAAGCAGAATACAGGGTTAATGGAAAGATTCTTGGTAGGGTGGAGGAACAGAGGGATCTTGGGGTTCATGTTCACAGTTCCCTGAAAGCTGCCACCCAGGTGGATAGAGTTGTTAAGAAGACATATGGTGTGTTAGCTTTCATTAATAGAGGGATTGAGTTCAAGAGCCGTGAAGTTATGCTCCAGCTATACAAAAGCCTGGTTTGGCCACATCTGGAGTATTGTGTCCAGTTCTGGTCGCCTCATTACAGGAAAGATGTGGAAGCGTTGGAAAAGGTGCAAAAGGAGATTTACCAGGATGTTGCCTGAAATGGAGGGAAGGTCTTACGAGGAAAGGTTGAGAGAGCTAGGGCTTTTCTCTTTAGAACGACAAAGGCTGAGAGGTGACTTGATAGAAGTATACAAAATGATCAGAGGTATAGATAGAGTAGACAGCCAGCGACTTTTTCCGAGGGTGGAGGTAGCTATTACAAGGGGGCATAGTTTTAAAGTGAGTGGAGGTAGATACAGGGGAGATGTCAGAGGTAGGTTCTTTACTCAGAGTGGTAGGGGCATGGAATGCATTGCCGGAGAGAGTAGTGGAGTCAGCCTCATTAGGGACATTTAAGTGGCTATTAGATAGGCATATGGAGGATAGTATAAAGTAGGGGTGGAGGTTAGATAGACCTTAGGATTAGGGTAAAAGTTTGACACAACATCGTGGGCCGGAGGGCCTGTACTGTTCTATGTTCAACTAGCAGAAACACACCATTACCATAACACCTTAAAATTCAGTTAAAAATCACCATTTCACCTTCTAAATTTCAAAAAACATAAAAGTTGAAGTTTTAAATACTGTTAAATCTCAAAGCTGAAAACAAAATTCTGTTAACTATACTGCACTCCTTCCAAAGCCAGTCAACCTTTCAAGTGTGGTGCCGAGGACTGCCCAGTACTTTAAATTTTACCCCCACCACAATTGGATGTGGACGTCTGTTAAAAGCAGCATCTCTTAGTTATCCCCAATTGCTGGTGTACTTTTGGAAGTGTGTTCCAAAATTTTGACAGTAATTACAAAGGAACAGTGATTATAGGTCTAAGTCCAGATGATTTGGGAGGGGCAGGGGGTTGTGAGGGGAGTGACTTTTCGGATAGTGGTATTTCTTCGCATTTGCTGCATTGCTAAAAGCTGGCTTACACCATTTCGTAGTTTTAATACAAGAGACCAGCATTCCATTAAGCTATCAACAGTTCCAAAAACTGATGCTTTTTTGGACCTGTCCCCTCTATGTATCCGAATCCTACCAACTCTTTGTATCTCCACTATTTCTAGCTTTGGAGCATCTGGAAAACACTTTCTTTTGCTGACATTGAGATCTCTGTCAGTTTTATCATTCATATGATTCAAGGAATTTTATGCCGCCACCTATTTGGGTCCAGTGAATTGGGATATACACTTTCTACCCCAGTATTTAAATACAAAGCAACCAATTTAATGAGGCATATGCTATTTTAGATCTAATGTTATGCAATGAGAAAAGCCTAGTAATAGTCTTGTAAGAACTGTACAGAAGTGGCCATTGCAATTTTCCACTAAATTTTAAAAAAAAAAAGTTACTGGATGTGACAAATTGGAAAAATACATTAAAACATTTGATGGTAGGTAGACAATGGCTAGTATTTAAAGTATCAATGCTTGGTTTGCAAAGAGCATTTTTATAAGCCCAAAATACCCAGAGGGAGAGCCATTGCTAATAACAGAAGTTGAAGCTAGTATTAGATCAAAGTGGAAAACAAAGTTGCCAAGTAAAACTGCAAGCCTGAGAATTGGGAGAATGTTTGAATTTAGCAAAGAGAGGGTGAAGAAATCAATAATAGACTATGAATGCAAAATAGCAAAAGAGAAAATACAAGTGTACTATAGAAGCTTCCATAGGTTTGTGGAAAAGGTAATAAAAAAAAAACCAAACAGTTCACTACAGGCAGACAGGAAAATTTAACAGGAAATAGAGAAAATGGCAGTAACACAAAATAAGTACTTGTATGTCTTCAGAGGAAGACAGATTTTCCTGAAATAATTAAGATCCAAGGGTCCAGTGAGATTACCAAATTAACTTGGAAATCTGAAAAGATCCAATTACCTTAATCCTCAAGTGTTCAAAGAGATAGTTGATACAATAGTGATCATCTTTCAACATTTTAAACTGCAGATTAAAAGTTTGTAAGTGTAATTTCACTGTTAAAGGATGGAGACAAAACAGGGAACTACAAACCTGTTAGTCTGGCATCAATAGTAGGGAAAGTGTCTGAACAAAGCCAACATGAATTTAAGAACTGGAAATTAAATGTTTCATAAACCCAATAAATTGTCCATGTTACTAGCAAAGTAACTAAGAGGGAAACTAGTAGATGTGGTGAATTTTGACTTCTGGAAGGCTTCCAATCAAATCCCACAAGAGGTTCAAAATACAGAATGAAGCACACGTGGCCAGTACAATATACTAGCATGGATTGAGGACTGGTTAAGACGCAGAAAATAGAGTGTACGAATAAGTGGGTCATTCTTAGATCAGCAGGCTGTGACCAGAGAGGTACTGTAAGGATCAGTACTTAGGCTCCAGTTGTTCACAATCTACAGTTATTTGTAGATGGACATCCTTCAATTTTCCAAATTTGCAGATACTGCTCTTGAGCCAGTGGTAGCATCTCTATCTTAGGAGGAAGGCCCAAGCTCAAGTCCCACTTCAGTGAGAGCTGTATTACAAAATGTCCAAAACAAGTTGGTTGCTAAAAAAAAGGTAGACTACACAAGCCCTTGGTAAGAAAGAATAAAGAATGTAAAGAAGCTTCAAGGGGAGCATGGTAGATGGAATATAAATGTAGCTCAGTGGATAATCTTGCACTTTGGCAGGGGAAACAAAGTTCATAATATTTCTTAAATGGTCAGATTGGAAAATATTGATGTCCAAAGGGACTGCAGTGTCCTTGATGTTAAGGAAAGGACAACTGGCATATAGCAAGTAATTCAGAAGGTAATCATAGGGTCAGCATTTACTACAAGAGAATGTGAGTACAGGAGCAAAGACATCTTTCAAATTTACTACTCTAGAGATTGTAGAAGCTTAGTTATCAAGTGATTTCAAGATACGTACAGACAGATTTCCAATTTCTAATGACATTGGGATTATGATAGCGCATGGGATCATCTCGAACAAAAATATCCTGGCTGTCCTCTGCTAGAAGCATTGGCTAAGTAAATATCCACCATTGCTTCCCCAACAGCACTATTCAGTTGTAAACCCCTCTTCTCCCATTTGAAAAAAAAGGGGTTTTCATCATCACTAAAGTCTTTTTTTGCACTTTAAAAAAAAACCATGCACAACATCTTCCTTTAATTATTCTGAAATATTATTCAGAATTTCTTCCCAAGGTCTTTACCCTGCCCGCCCCCATTTAGTGGTTCAAAGTCCTTTCAATCATTCTACCCATCCTGTGCCGGGTCGGTGGATTCAGGCTGATTTAGCTCGAATCCTCCCAATGGTAAAACTCCTTCCTGAGCCAATACTGAAGGTCAAACAACCCTGCGGAATCGGGCAGGGAATACTCAGAGCTGATACCCAGGGGCTACAGCTGGCACTGCTGTTTTGCACCCACACCCGCCCAGACCATGGTTGGCGATGGGAATAAGGTAGTGGGTGCGCTCACTGTCAGTACGGAGGTACTCACAGCCCCCAGTTACAAGAGAAGAGGTAAATGCTGCTTCGGGGCCTTCACCCACAACCCCCGACCTTACCTTTCCGGGACACCACTTCGCTGGCGAGCGGAACATTATTCTCACACACTCGGATCCCATCCTGGTACGTTCCAGCCGCCTCCTCTTTGTTCCATCGGTCCACGCTCCCCTTCATCCAATCCTTCACTGCGATGTACTTCTTCTGAGCAAAGTCATAGTACGCGATCAGCTCTTTATCATAGATATACTGGTTAATGAAGGTCCACGCCCCAGAGATATTAAACCTACACCCGTCAACGTAGTTAGCGGAGTGAGCCCCTGAGAGAGAGACCACAAACAGTATTTAACAACACAGTCCTCTGTCCGGGAATTACTAGCCCCGCTCCCTCATTCACACCGAGTCACTGACCCGGGACTCACCAGTTCCGCTGTCTCTCCCTCCATTGAGGAGGATGAATGTCCCGATGAGGAGGGGGATCCGGATCCACAGGGAGCGGGAATCAGACACTCTAAACAGATCCATTCCTGAAGAACCAGAGACTAAAACCCAGAACATGCAAGTGCGCGACCTTTAAATAGGGTGCGGAAGACCAATCGGTGTGGGGCAGGAATCGACCAATCGGTGTGGGGCAGGAATCGACCAATCGGTGTGGGGCAGGAATCGACCAGTCGAGTGGATCCAAGATGGCACTGGCTTAGATTCAAGGCACATGGTGATTCTGTGAGCTGTCAACAGCAGATCTTATTCGTACATATCTTACAATCGTCCTGCTCTTTTAAACCTTCTAAGCCTGTTAAAGTACTAACAATGTACTGTTAAATCTGCTTGAGGGTGCGATCAACCAGGCCTGATTGCTGAAGCTGGATCCACAAGCCTAGAGCAAACCTACCAAATTCATGCAGGCCCGATCCTCCTGACCTCAACGAAACCCAGAACTGCGGCCCTACCAGCCCAGGAATGACAACCAATCTTAAGGGAACCAGACAACGTGGAGGCTCCATGGAACCAACTCCAAGAACCCCTGGAGTGGCCTTGACTGCAAGTGGCCAGGACCCTATCAGGAGCACACACTTACCTTTCAAAGCAGCAGACTTCCATCATTGATGCCTTGGATCAACCAGAAGCAGTCACCTTACCAGGAAATATGGGAGACGTGCTGGTCTGCAGGTAAGACTGAAACAACGTGGTTTCAAGTCTCCCCTCCCAGCATAATCTTGGCAAATGTCCCAAGTCATTGAGAACAAAATGGATGAACTTAAAACTAGACTTACATTCCAGAGGGAACTGAGAGACTGCTGTATACTCTGTTTTACGGAGACATGGCTCACTCCTGCTACACCTGACTGTGTCTTACGTCCTGAAGGTTTCTTTATCCATCACATGGAACACACAGCATCGTTGGGCAAGGTAAGGGGTGGTTGGTGTCTGCCTCCTAATAAACACCGCCTGGTGCTCAAATGTGGCAACCCTGGCAAGTTACTGCTCCCCGGACCTAGAATATCTTACAGTGAAGTGCCATCCCTACTACCTGATGTGCATGTTCGCCTCCTCTATCCTCACAGTGGGCCACATACTACCCCATGCAGAAGTGAAGAGTGTTCTTGATGAAATTTACACCGCCACAAATGGGCTTGAGCAGAATAGCCCAAGGCCTTGTTTATTTTTGCCGGTGACTTCACCCTCAAGAGTGTGCTACCAGAATACCATCAGTACATCTGCTGGCCCACCACAGGTCAACATCCTTGATCATTGCTACTCAACGATCAAAGGTTCCATACCCCATATGCACTTTGGAAGATCCGATCACAACGCTGTTTTCCTACCGGCTTACAAGCAGAAATTGAAAAGTGAGGACCCAGTACATTAAGTAGTACAATGATGGTGTGAGGCAGTGGAAGAGCTTCTATGGAACTGCTTAGAGTTGGTGTATTGGTCCATATTCAAGAACTCAGCAGCCAACCTAGATGAGTATGTCACTATCATTACAGACTTCATTAGCAAGTGTGTAGAAGACTGTGTCCCAAAGAAATCAATCTGAATGTTCCCCAACTGGAAACCATGGAAGAATTGGAAGATTCATTGCTTGCTGAACTCCAGGTGTATGGTGTTCAAGTCAGATGACCTGGACCTTTACAGGAAATCCAGATAGGACCTCCATAAGGCCATTAGAGATGCCAAGATACCGGACTAAGCTGGAGACCCAAACTAACCACATGGTCACCTGCTGTTTTTGGCAAGGCATGCATAAGATCACAAACTACAAATCGAATCAGAGCAGAACAGCGGACAAAAATACATCCCAAACTGATGCACTGAATGCACATCCATGGTGAAGAGGAGGTGGCTGGAACCCACAAACTGGAAATTTTGAAACTGATGTAAAATGTCAGAAGAATTGCGGATGTAGGTGAGAAGGGACTGGACAAGAGAAGAAAAAAAAAAATCGAATTGAGGTAGGAAGAGATGAGTTCTGTGAGGCTGGAGCAGGCAGAAACAATGGGTCTGCCTGGGCAGTCCTGTTTGTGAATTTTGGGAAGGAGGTAGAAGTGGGCTGTGTGGGGTTTGTAGACTATGAGGTTGGAGGCAGTGGGTGGGGGAGATCACCAGATGAAATGAGATTAGTGACTGTCGTGGACAATAGCCTGGTGTTCAATGATGGGGTTGTAGTCTATGGAGAGTTAGGAGGAGGTTTCCAAGAGCTGGCACTCAGTCTCCGCATTGTAGAGACAGTACGCCAGGCAACAGGCTTGAATACAAAGTCAGCTTTTGATCTGAGAGCATGGAGTGCAGTCAGTTCAGAGGGAGATAGGTTTGAATAGGTAAGGGAGGGTGGGCAAAGAAGTCGAGGCGACCAATGTCCATAAGACTATAAGACAGAGGAGCAGAATTAGGCCATTGAGTCTGCTCTGTCATTCAATCAAGGCTGATATGTTTCTCAATTCCATTCTCCTGCCTTCTCCCCATAACCTTTGATTCCCTTACTAATCTTATCAATTTCTGTCTTAAATGCATTCAGTGACTTGTTCTGCATAGGTGTCTCTGGCAATGAGTTCCAAAGATTAACTACCCTCTGGCTGAAGGAATTTCTCATCTTTTTTCACAGGGTCATCCCTTCACTCTGAGGCAGTGCCCTCAGGTCCTAGTCTGTCCGACTCGTGGAAATATCTTCTCTGCATTCACTCTATCCAGGCCTCTTGGGTGTCCTGTAAGTTTCAATCAGAACCGCCCCCCCCAATCCTCCATCTTTCTAGAGTACAGATGCAGAATCCTCAACCGCTACTCATATTGAGAAACCCTTCATTTTCAGGATCTCATAAACCTCTTCTGGATCCCCTCCAACACCTGCACATCTTTCCTTAGATATGTGGCCTAACCTGCTCGCAACATTCCAAATGTGTATCGCTGCTCTTGTATTCTAGCTGTCTTGAAATGAATGCTAACATTGCACTTGCCTTCCTAACTGCCGACTGAACCTGTCTGTTAATCTTCAGAGAATCCTGAACTAGGACTCCTAAGCCCCTTTATTAATGTTGGATTTCCAAAGCCTTTCCCCGTTTAGAAAACAGTCTATGCCTCTATTCTTCCTACCAAAACAGCTAGCCTCACACTTTGCTACACTGTATTCCATCTAACAGTTATGTGCCCACTCTCCTAGTCTGTCCAAGTCCTTCTGCAGCCTCCCTGCTTCTTCAACACTACCTGTCTCTTACCTATTTTTGTGTCACCTGCAAACTTAGCAACAGTACCCTGAGTTACTTCATCCAGATTGTTAATGTATAACGTGAATAGCTATGGTCCCAAAGCTAACCCCTGCAGAGCTCCACTAGTCACTGGCTGCCATTCTGAAAAATACCTTTATCCCCCCTCTCTAATTTCTGCCAATCAGCCAATCCTGTATCCATGCCCGTACGATGCATCTAACACCGTGGGCTCTCATTTGGCAGCCTCCTGTGCAGCTCCTTGTCAAAGGCCTTCTTTACCCTTTGTCACGTTTACTCCAGTACAGAAGTATAAGAGTGCAATGAAAAGTTTTTACAATGGCTGCCGTATTAATGGCGCCACCTTAGGTACAAGTACCTCGGTACAAATCTTGGAAACAAAAGAGGAATGAAAGGAAAAGTAGTAGCATTACTTAGACTCTAAAAAATAAGTTAGAAATAAGTTAGATATACCATAGTTAAAGGACTGACATTACAGTCGATAAAGAATTTTAATAACAGTAGCTCAGCATGTAGTCTGACTGACCGTGCCAAACCCCAGTCCAACAACTGTCCTGCTCCACACTGCAACAAGGTAAGTCGCACTGTTCCGGGACTCGGTTCCCCTTCGTGCTGCCCTGGAACTCTTGTTATGGAGGGGGAATGGCCGAACCCCTCTGATAATTACCTAAAACACAAGCCTCAATCTATTATAAGATAACAAGGTGTAGAGCTGGATGAACACAGCAGGCCAAGAGCATCAGAGGAGCAGGAAAGCTGACGTTTCGGGTCTAAACCCTTCTCCAGAAATGGGGGGAGGGGAAGGGGATTCTGAAATAAATAGGGAGAGAGGGGGAGGCGGATAGATGATGGATAAAGGAGAAGATAGGTGGAGAGGAGACAGACAGGTCAAAGAGGTGGGGATGGAGCCAGTAAAGGTGAGAGTTGGTGGGGAGTTAGAGAGGGGATAGGTCAGTCCAGGGAGGACGGGCTGGTCAAGGGGGCGGGATGAGGTGAGTGGGTAGGAGATGGGGGTGGGGCTTGAGGTGGGAGGAGGGGATAGATGGGAGGAAGGACAAGTTAGGGAGGCAGGGACAAGCTGGGCTGGTTTGGGATGCGGTAGGGGGAGGGGAGATTTTGAAGCTTGTGAAGTCCACATTGATACCATTGGGTTGCAGGGTTCCGAAACGGAATATGAGTTGCTGTTCCTGCAACCTTCAGGTGGCATCGTTGTGGCACTGGAGGAGGCCCAGGATGGACACGTCGTCTAAGGAGTGGGAGGGGGAGTTGAAATGGTTCGCGACTGGGAGGTGTAGTCGTTTGTCACGAACAGAGCAGTCCCCAAGCCTCCGCTTGGTTTCCCCAATGTAGAGGAGGCCACATCGGGAACAACGGATACAATATACCACATTAGCGGATGTGCAGGTAAACATCTGTTTAATGTGGAAGGTCTTCTTAGGGCCTGGGATGGGGGTGAGGGGGGAGGTGTACGGGCAGGTGTAGCACTTCCTGCGGTTGCAGGGAAATCTGTTCTGATGGGATTAGGGCCTTCCCTCTAATAATTACCCCTGAAACACCCAGAGAAGCCCATTTTCCCCCTCATAATCTATTAAAAGAGTGGTTAAAAGGAAGAAAATCACTGATCTCCACTTTATAAATAACAGGAAACAATTTATTTATTAACCCAATAATGAACAAATTAACAAAATTACTAACAAACCAGCAATTCTCCCTTAGACTACTAACTACTCCATAACTGTTCTAAATTCTACTGGAATGCTGTTTAAATAAAGACAAGTCCCACTAATATAATCCCAGTTAATAAGAAGCAATAAATTATAACTTAATTTCTCCAAGTTTGCATAGACT